TCACAACTTACTCTTTATTCCCCAGTTGATCTCCTGTAACTCTGTCAGACACGTTTGACCGTATACAGCGTTATTGACTAAACACAATTACTTTAAAATGAGCTGTGGTGAGCAGGACGGCCGAGGGACGTGAGAGAAAGTCGCGAGGCCGGTGGTGCGATTGCTAATGAGCAGCACCTGTGAAGCACACCGGTCTCGCATCTCTCACGAAGGAGCGGAGCCATAAAGGGGGAGCGACGGAGTGGATGATCGAGAGAGGAACAGGCCTGCTTTTATTTGTATTTTATATTTTATTTGGTAAGCCAGCAGTCGTCCGTGAGGGGCTGCTGGCCGGTATTTATGTTTTATTTTGGGTAGCCAGCAGTCGTCCGCGAGGGGCTGCTGGCAGGTAATTTGTTTGTTTATTTTATTTAAATAAAGTTTTATTTTATTATTATTATCCGGTTCCTGCCTCCTTCTTCCCTGAACTTTGTTACACTGGTGCCGAAACCCGGGTAGAGGGAGGAACGCGCTGTCCGAGGGTCCTCGCCGCTCTGGGGAATCCGCGGTGCCATCGAGCATGGTGCGCGAGTTGCCGCCGCTCGCCGTGGGCCGGAGCCTGCTGCCGTCCGCCGCAGAAGGGGAGGAGCAGGGAGCGGGGGACTCGCGGCCATGGACGCTCGAGGCGGGGCGCTGGGATGAGTTGCCGGTGGGACGCCCGAGCTCGCCGCCGACTGCCTGGAAAATGGAGGGGCGGCTGCCGTTCGGGAGGGAGAGGAGGAGTCACCGCCGCTTGCCGTGGGCCGGAGCCTGCTGCCATCCGCCAGTGAAGGGGAGGAGCAGGGAGCGGGGGACTCCTGCCGTCTGCCCAAGGCACCCGAGGAGCCGTCGCCGTCCACCGGGGGCGGGGGAGCGTCGAGGCGTTCACCGAGGGCCATCCAGCGTCGCCGCCGGGCACCGCGGAGGAGATCGCCCAGCTGGTGAGGGACAAGATGGCAGCGCGTTGTGGGAGCCGGACCAATTTTTTTTTTTTTCTCTCTCCCCTCTCTCGTGTCCGTCGCTCCTCGTGCTTCCGTCTCCGTCTCCCTCGGCTCGTCGATCCATACCCCCTAGGGATCGCCGCCGCCGGGGGGGAGTAGGCACAGTCTCGGGTGTACCCCCGGCCTGTGAGGGGTGATGGGGGTATGTGGTGAGCAGGACGGCCGAGGGACGTGAGAGAAAGTCGCGAGGCCGGTGGTGCGATTGCTAATGAGCAGCACCTGTGAAGCACACCGGTCTCGCATCTCTCACGAAGGAGCGGAGCCATAAAGGGGGAGCGACGGAGTGGATGATCGAGAGAGGAACAGGCCTGCTTTTATTTGTATTTTATATTTTATTTGGTAAGCCAGCAGTCGTCCGTGAGGGGCTGCTGGCCGGTATTTATGTTTTATTTTGGGTAGCCAGCAGTCGTCCGCGAGGGGCTGCTGGCAGGTAATTTGTTTGTTTATTTTATTTAAATAAAGTTTTATTTTATTATTATTATCCGGTTCCTGCCTCCTTCTTCCCTGAACTTTGTTACACTGGTGCCGAAACCCGGGTAGAGGGAGGAACGCGCTGTCCGAGGGTCCTCGCCGCTGTGGGGAATCCGCGGTGCCATCGAGCATGGTGCGCGAGTTGCCGCCGCTCGCCGTGGGCCGGAGCCTGCTGCCGTCCGCCGCAGAAGGGGAGGAGCAGGGAGCGGGGGACTCGCGGCCATGGACGCTCGAGGCGGGGCGCTGGGATGAGTTGCCGGTGGGACGCCCGAGCTCGCCGCCGACTGCCTGGAAAATGGAGGGGCGGCTGCCGTTCGGGAGGGAGAGGAGGAGTCACCGCCGCTTGCCGTGGGCCGGAGCCTGCTGCCATCCGCCAGTGAAGGGGAGGAGCAGGGAGCGGGGGACTCCTGCCGTCTGCCCAAGGCACCCGAGGAGCCGTCGCCGTCCACCGGGGGCGGGGGAGCGTCGAGGCGTTCACCGAGGGCCATCCAGCGTCGCCGCCGGGCACCGCGGAGGAGATCGCCCAGCTGGTGAGGGACAAGATGGCAGCGCGTTGTGGGAGCCGGACCAATTTTTTTTTTTTTCTCTCTCCCCTCTCTCGTGTCCGTCGCTCCTCGTGCTTCCGTCTCCGTCTCCCTCGGCTCGTCGATCCATACCCCCTAGGGATCGCCGCCGCCGGGGGGGAGTAGGCACAGTCTCGGGTGTACCCCCCGGCCTGTGAGGGGTGATGGGGGTATGTGGTGAGCAGGACGGCCGAGGGACGTGAGAGAAAGTCGCGAGGCCGGTGGTGCGATTGCTAATGAGCAGCACCTGTGAAGCACACCGGTCTCGCATCTCTCACGAAGGAGCGGAGCCATAAAGGGGGAGCGACGGAGTGGATGATCGAGAGAGGAACAGGCCTGCTTTTATTTGTATTTTATATTTTATTTGGTAAGCCAGCAGTCGTCCGTGAGGGGCTGCTGGCCGGTATTTATGTTTTATTTTGGGTAGCCAGCAGTCGTCCGCGAGGGGCTGCTGGCAGGTAATTTGTTTGTTTATTTTATTTAAATAAAGTTTTATTTTATTATTATTATCCGGTTCCTGCCTCCTTCTTCCCTGAACTTTGTTACATGAGCATCAGACAGAAATAACCTGCATGGGGTGATCGAGGCGCACATACAAAGCAGACCGTTCAACCGGGAGTGCGCAGCTCTTAAAGGAACACTCCGACTTTTTGGGACTTTAGCCTATTCACCTTACCCCCCAGAGTTAGATAAGTCCATACATACCTTTTTCATCTCCGTGCGTGCTATAAGTCTGTTTGACGCACCCACCGCTAGCCTAGCTTAGCACAAAGACTGGAATGGTTGCAGCTTTCATACTAATCCAAATGAGTGACAAAATAATGCAAACGTTTTCCTATTTACATGTTGTGGTTTGTATAGTCACATAATGTACAAATAACAAGGCCATATGAGACACAGACATCTTTTGACCGTATAAATACTATATTTTCTGAAGGCGAAGCACTGCTACTTGGGCAGAGTGATAACAATCACCTGAGACGCACCGTGACGAGGAGCAGAGAGTTCGCTTTGCTCAGCGTTGGAATAAAGAGTCAGCAATTACTAACGTTAGATAAAAAAGCATAGTTTATCATGGGTGTTTGCTTTATTGTATGAGCTGTGACAATAAACAGGGGAGACCAGGTAATACAGTACCATGTTTCATTGATTTCCAACCAAAAACGCACCCAGATTTATAAATATCACATGAATAAATAATTATTATTACAGGAATCAATATATTTTAAATGCAATTTATTAGCTGAACCAAATGTATTCAACAGTAGCCTATATAATATACAGTATTGCATTACTATAGGATAGAATAAGGGGAAAGTAATAGCACAAATTGTTTTTGCACAATGAACTCACAGCCTATCGTACCCTTTTGCACGCTCAAGTTCGTTATTTCCATGGTTATTTCAAATTTAGGCTACTAGGCGCGCCGCGCGCAGGGTGCAAGTTCAACGCTGTGAACGCGCTCGTTTTTTTTCCAAGCGCGTCCGCACCGCATCAAGATAAAAACATATTCATACCCTAATCATATAATAGTGTCACTAACGTTACATTAGCTCTGGCTAATGGCACTGTTACAGTAGGTCATCTAAAAACATAACACTTACCTCAGCCGCAGGTGATCCACTTGTCCTGTCTGTGCTATCGATGGGATGGCCGTATCCTTCAGCACATTATGGTCCGTGTGGCAAATTCCATTTTTTCAAAATAGTCGTCCTCATTGAAATGTAACGAGCAAACATAATGTCCCTTGATAATCTTAGGTGTGTTTGGATAAATATCCAGAGTAAGTTAGCCATTTCTTCATCCAGTCAGCGTTTTTAGTTGGAATTCTGTGAAACATGGTATTACCTCCCCTGTTTACAGTCGCAGCTATTTACAATAGAGCGAAAACCCATGACTCTAAACTACGCTTTTACTATTTATAAATTGCTGACTCTATTACCCAAACACTGAGCGAACTCTCCGCTCCTCACCACGGCGTGTCTCCGGTGATGCGGTTATTACTCCGTCAAAGTAGCAGTGCTTCGCCTTCAGAGAATAGTTCCCAGGTTTTATACGGTTAAAAGATGTCTGTGTCTCATTTGACTTTGTTATTTGTACATTATGTGACTATACAAATCACAACATGTAAATAGGAAAACGTTTGCGTTATTTTGCCACTCATTTGGATCAGTATGAAAGCTGCAACCATTCACATCGAGTCTTTGTGCTAAGCTAGGTTAGCGGTGGGTGCGTCAAACAGACTTATAGCACGCACGGAGATGAAAAAGGTATGTATGGACTTATCTAACTCTGGGGGGTAAGGTGAATAGGCTAAAGTCCCAAAAAGTCGGAGTGTTCCTTTAAAGGGGCCACACCTTATTTCTACTCGCTGTATACTTCTAATTCCTTATAAAAGAGGCAGTTTGATTCGGTGCGGGAAGGTTTAGTTTAGGGGTGCTGTTTTTTTAGGTCACCACTTTTAGATAAGAAACAACATCAACTCTATAAAACTCGTCAAAACACCACGAATTACAAGTGTACTGACTGCCGTTATTGATGTGTGAATCCATAATGACTCCAGTCGTAGTTCAGGATAACTCTTCATTGGTTCATGATTTGGTCGTGCCTTCAATAATATGATTATTCATATACCCTTATTGTAAAGTGTTACCATTTTTCTTCACTTAAAGCAAACAACACACTCTCCAGAATAAACTATGAGTGTTTATCAGAGAGCTGTTCAAATCACTGACACACTCTTAATATGAAGATCATTCTTCATCATCAGATGTTTGAGTGACACTATGTCCAGTATCAGGAATAATACAGTATGATCTGTGTGTATCAATACACAACTCTGAGATCACAACGTGAATGTGTGCAAGAATAAACTGAGCATGTTCAAATCAACTCTTTCCAGACTAATTCCACTAAATGTGTTTAGAGAAAATACAGATTTCTTTACCTGTGAGAAGTGAAGAGAGAATGATCAGTCCCAGCAGACACAGATCACACTGATCAGACATTTCTGCTTCTGTCCGTTTCTGTCCGTCTTTCTCTTCAGTATATATAGTTACAGCTCCTCCTCTTCATTTATATATAGTTACATCTCTTCCTTTAAACATCATCAGCTCCTCCTCTGGTTGGTAACGTCCTCGGTTTCCATCACCCTGTTTGTATGCGTATTTTGAAGTATTGCACCAGAAACGAGTGATGGAAACCCCAAATTTGTCAGAGAAAACAATTTCATCATAATGAAATATAGTTGTTTTAAGGTCACCCAACAGTGTCCTCAGAGTATTTTTTATGTGTTTATTTTTTTGTTTACACAATCGTTTTGCATAACATCATAATAGCCTACAACATGAACACAATAAGTAAATTGTACTTATTTCTCTATGTAATTAATTCTTTTTACATTATTGCTTTATCAATAATAATAACCTAATAATAACTACTAAGTTCAAAGTCTGTGTACACGATTGTGTGTGTGTGTGTGTGTGTCTGTGTGTGTGTGTGAGAGAGAGAGCGTTGAATAGCATGCATCAGTAGGGGAGACATATGGCATCAAATACAGCATTTATATGTATATGTGATACTGCAAACCGATTAACATGGTAGAGACATTACTTACCTTTCAACTCTGTAACCCTGTAAAGATCAACTACAGCATAGATTCAGTTGTATGGTACAGTGAGAACATTTACTGTATTGGCAGCAAACTCTTCATAAAACCTCATGGCAATTTCATTACTTCAACACATTTTCCCACATATCAATATTTGTCTGGCCAGCTCCAGTCCACAAATCCCCTATTCCTCTATTCCCCGCGTCCTAACGCTGCAAAGAATGAGGATCCTGGAGTGGCCTAGATCTGAATTAAAGACAAGGCCCACACATGGACCATAACTGGCTGAGAGGAGGTCACATTAAGGCCAACATCACTTGCTCTGTGTGTGTGTGTGTGTGTGTGTGTGCGCGTGCGTGCGTGCGCCTGCGTGTGTGTGTACCATGAAGCTTTTATTAGGCTACCAAGTTTGTGCTTCTGAAACCACAATTTCCAGAAGAGTTTCACTAACAAATGCGTCATGATCACACTTCATCTATATATACACAGCAAAAACTCCCGTGTTAAATGAACTCTTTTGTGAAAGTTTTTTAGATCACACTCAAAAGTGTTACAATCAGGGTACATTAAAATGTCAAGGTTCGTGAGCCTAAATTAAACCGAGAGATGTCTACTACCTCAGACTTAACGTTTGATCTGTATCAGCATCGGAGGATAACATAATCTCGCTCACGAAAGAGAAAGCTGTGCAAAACTTACATGTACAAAAGTAACTGTGAAGACTTCAATGTAAAAACAGCTTTTGTCTCTTTATCAGCTTTTCCATATACTGGCACTTATAATCATCACAAACAGTGAAGCATCTTCTTTTAAATATTTTAAGCCTTGGATTAATTGTTCTGTTATGTTGGATTCCAGGTCATTATGGAATTGTTGATAAATTAGCTAAAAAAAGACACAAGTAGGAATTCACAATCCATTGGGCAAAGGAGATGCTAAAGCAATAATCAAATCAGAGATGATGCTAAGATGGCAAGATGAATGGGAATCAGAGAGTAATGCCAGACACTATCATAGGAACCAGAGCACTGTTGGAGGGAAAATAATCCCATCATTGGGTCTAAATAGGCATGACAAAGTTGTTTTAACCAGACTGATGTTGGGCCACACAGGTCTTAATTCAACATTATCCTTAATTCAGGTTCGGGAGTGAGGAAGGCTATGCACTTCCTCTAACGCAAGCCTCCAGCACATCTTGTCAGGCTGCAAGGTTGTGCTTTCCCAGGGACGCTATAGATGGCGTCACGACTAGGTCCTGAGAAAGTTAGCCGAGGTGTGGACAGAGCAGCAAAGGGGTACCACCACCAGAGAACCACAACCACATCACCTTTGACACGGAAGAAGAAACCTCCGGCCAAGAGAAGCAGCTAGGCTGTTTTCACCTGACCAGGAGTGGAATATGAGAGGCAGCTCCGATTCCCGGTCGAGATTACTGCTACATCTCTCCGCCCCGACATAGTGATGGGGTCTACCAAGGTAAAATCCATGCTCCTCATAGAGCTCACAATACCAGCGGAGGAGGGGATGGAGGAGGCCTATGAACGTAAGAAGGCCAAGTACTCAGAGCTGACTACTGAGTGCTGGCTGGAAGACGGATGCCGAGGCTGCGTGGGACTGTCAACCACACGCCTTCTGAGGGACATATGAGTAACCGGAGGGAAACTAAAGAAGGCAACCAAAGAGCTAGCGGAGGAGGGAGAGAAAGAGAGCTTAGCTCTGGCTGAGGAGGAAAGACAAGAGCTGGGGAAAGAACAACTAACCCCAATAACAGCCACAGAGGGTAACATCTATCAGCTGCAGGGGGGCAGGGAGACGTCCCTATCACTGCTCCGCCACCAGGAGACGTTCCAGGATTAAAGGAGTGAAACGTTGGTGAATGGTGGTTCCTGGCTGATGACCCTGCAGCTGACCCGCGGGCACCGGAGGAGGTGCGACTGGCAGCAATGCCTAACAGGTGTTCCATCTACCTGTACTTTTCACTGAATAGACAAAAGTAATGGCATGTGCTGTGAATGCAAAGTTCTGGAGGATGTTATCCATGTTTTATTTGTGTTTTACCCGTCCTTCAGATGAGACGTTAAAATGAGGTCCTGACTCTCTGTGGTCATTAAAAATCCCAAAGAGTAGGGGTGTAACCCCGACATCCTGGCCAAATTTGCCCAGTGGCCTCTGTCCATCATGGCCTCCTAATCATCCCCATATATACCAATTGGCTTTATCACTGTCTCCTCTTCACCAGTAAGCTGGTGTGTGGTGGGTGTTCTGGCACAATATGGCTGCCGTCGCATCATTCAGGTGGATTCTGCACACTGGTGGTGGTTGAGGAGATTCCCCTCTCTATGTAAAGCGATTTGAGTGCAGAGAAAAGGCGCTATATAAATGTAATCAATTATTAATTATTATTTATCATTATTATTTAAATGTGAGAAATTTGACCGAATCAGACAGAAATGGAAAGAATTTGATGCAGAAAATGGCATTCATTATATTTTACAGGAGCAAGGAATACAGGGACAAAGAATCAAGTATCTCATAATGTATCTTAAAGATACTGGTTTAATTAGAATAATTTAGAGGGTTTTTTGTTTTGTTTTTGATTTAATGTGTCAATTGCCAACGTCAATTTTACACACTCCTGTGAAATAGTCCAGTAGGTGGCAGTATTTTTCATATTAACACAAACAAACACACTTTACATAGGCCGTTTCTCAAAACCAAGAATGCAAAGAACGGACTTGTGTTCTTGGGAAGAAAGCTCTTGGTAGTTGTTCTTGGAAGAACGAACTCACGAGGTGACGAGCACACAGAACGCTGCTGATAGTTTGAGACGATGTGTTCTTGCTGGTATTGCGCAATAGTAACGTTACCCCCGCACAGACGCCGTCTGCAGTGCCCAAACATAACGAGAATTATTATACAGCCAGGCTTTATCGCCCAAGCCTAAGGAATTACTCTACATACACTACAATGTTATGTAAATTCACAACAATAAAGCAACACATGTCTCATTTTAATTCTGCTTCTGTTGTTTGTGTACATCACCAGCCAACGGCGGGGAAAACGCCGGTAATATTCGGTAATATTCTTTTACTGTCTATGGTAATATTCAGGTAACTTTTGACCTGTCTCTCTCTGCTTCCCGCTCCTTCCACGAATGCCGAAATAAATTATGGGACATTTCTGCCGTCAAGTTCACACAAGTTACCAACCGATGCATCCTCGGTAAAATGGGAGTGTCAAAAACACATCCGGGATTTTTAACCGTTCTTGCCTAAATGCAAACTTGTGTATTGGGACCGTACTTGGGCCGCGACTGATGACGTTTTACAAGTCCACAAGAACACAAGTACAGACAAGAAGGCATATTGAAAAACGGCCACAGTTTGATTAAGCGACAGACTAATTTCTGTATTGCTTTCATCGATCACAGCGATACTTGTGCGTCTTCCTCCTGAAACACACATTTAGTGCAGCAGCAGCGAGCCTGAGGGGAATATGTGGAGCTCATTCAGACCTGAGAGCTTTTGTGTGATCTCCTCGATGTTTGGAGTGAGAACTGTTACTGAATGTCAAGACATAAGTCAAAGTTTGAGATCTGTGAGGGGAATCGATCTCAAGTGTTTCTGCTGCCGTTTTAGAATTATTTGGCAGAATTACCTGTTTTTCCAGACTGATCTCATGAAGTAGCGCATGTATGACACGCCAATTCGTATTTCCATTTTTGGCGTGCTATCAACATGCATAATCGCTTTTCAGCATGTTTATGAACGCCGTTGACTTACTTAACTAACGTTATTACTGTATATATATATATATATATATATATATATATATGACTTACCTCAACCCCGTCCCTAAACCTACCCGTCACTGGGGTTAATGGCATATGACTGTTCCCTTACCATCCTAGGAAAGAAAAAGATAGCTCCCCAGATGTAGATCTACATTTTGCTTTGTTTTGCTCGGACATTTGACTGCGTGTACAGACATGCGGAATGACGCGTACGTTAATGGCGTACACGCATACACGCAGAGAACTCAAAATGCGTCGAGATAACACGCCACTTGACTCGAAATTGCTGTGTATGTTTACGCAAAAGTCATGATGTCATGTTTTTTTTTTCTGCCATTGTAGAGGAATTTACAGTTAAAGACCCATGGACCAGATATGATGAATTAAAACATGGAGTCAAAGTGCAGACGATTGAAGACAAGAGTCAGAATTATGATAACTTAAAGAGTAACTAAACACTAAACCAACTTTTTTTAGTTAATGATCTGTAAGAATGGCTCTTTATTAATACCAGTCATTGATTCGAGTAACTTTTTTGACATTTGTTTATAAAGTGTTTTATTTCTACAATATATAGTGTAAAAGCGTCTTAGTGCTGCCCTCTTCAGGTTGAACGGTGGCTACTGCACTTGAATTCTCCTATTGGATGTTCCGCACTTCGTGACGT